CATGGTTTTTGAAGGACCATTAGCACCCCTAATTTCGGCTAAGTTTCACAGCCGAGCACCCCTCCTTCGAACTCCTCGTAGCTCAGGTATCTAAAACTCTACTAGACCCCGCGGACTAAAACGATACTTGGCTCTCTCAATTCCCCACACAGTAGCTTTCTCTGCACGATCGAAAAGATTGACCGGCCAGGAGTGTGTGGGCGAGTCATGCATATTTATAGTTTACAAGTGACGCAGTGGGTTTTCAACGAGGACGATTATTTTGGTTACAAAAACATGCGTTTAAAACAAGGAATAGAAATCATGCTCAAAACAATTAAAGGGAGACCACGATGTCTTCAAATAGCACATTTTATATTTTTACTGTAAAATCATAAATATGCCGCAAATTATTCATGGGAAAAAAATCGAAAACAGTACGACGCAATTTACATATTTTCCGAATGCACAGTTGTCGGTCGAAACAATAAACCGCATTGTAATGTTAATTAAAACAATTTCTGGAATTACGCCAAAAAGGCGCTCAAATAATAACGAACTCTGATCGAGCCGTCTTCGAGCGGTGTTTACGTAGTTTACGTAAAATCGTTCGCCGCTCGTCTTCGCTTCAAAACAAGTTTTGGCTTGTTTCGCGGATAGGAGGCAAGATGCTGAAGCTCTGCATCGCTTGTAGCTCGAAGGTTAGTGTGCTAATTGCGTAAACTTACACTCTAGTTCAAGAAAAATATTCCTGAGTTTCACAGTGTTCGCAGCCGCGACTTGTTTGTAAGCCATCGACCTCGGACCAACTTCACCGTGACGAAATGTTCCTGATGTAAATCTTGTAAATGAATCTATTATCTACAACTCTTAAAATCACCAACACCACATTCTTTCTGTTGAATTATTTCTGTGACTCTTAGAAGATTGTATTTCGGTCGACTTTATTCGACTCTCCGTTTTAAAACGCTATTACCCAGTGCGATAAATGACACCAACTTTCTCCATCACGCAGTGCATCTCATGTCACTTGCCTTTCGAGGCCTCGTAAAACGTACCCTCTGTTGTGTTTCTAAATACACGGAGAAGACATCCCTTTCAATATGACAAAAGGGCTTAAAGGAAGCATGCTTCATTATGTCCGTTGTACAATTTTTGTACAAATTAAAACTGCCTTATCCTCGAGCTGTATTGTGCGTGGTAAATCCTTTTCTGTTTTGGGTTCTTGCAATTCGGCGGTACCGCGCGACTGAGAAACTAGGCGAAAAAAGGGGACAGCCACGTACCAGTGTGCGTAACATAAATAAAATTCGTTTCACATTGAATCCGGCCTAGCTTTTCTAAGATTGTTGTCAGGAATAAATATGGAGAAAATTCAGATACCTAGAAACGAAGTCTTATCACATCGATCATAATTCCTTTTTATAAAGAGGATCAAACCTAGGGTCAACGAAAGTCGCTCAGAACAATTACAAGATGTTTTCTAGGCATCCATTTTCTGCACTTAAAAAAGAACCGTAAAGCATGGTCTATTTTCTTCTCGACGTTGCGAACGTTCTTGATTGCATATGATAACTGCACAGCGTTTCGCATTTTGCTGTAGGCTTACGTATGGCTTTGGGAACAAAAAAACTTGACTTGAAAATAAGAAAACTTACGACCTTTGCACATCGATTGCTTGTGCTTTCCATACGGGGCTTTATCCTTCTATATTCCAAGTAACAAAGTTAACTGATGTGCAACATATACGACGGTTTAATTTATGCAAGTAATCAAATAAGTGTAACTGATCAATAAGGACATAACTGGGTCTATTAATTGCGTGCTCGGCAATTTACAAGCCTTGTTGTCAGCCGACACTTACTAACCCTAAGAGCTCATCGTCTCAATAAAACACACACGCCAGTAACGGTTTGCACTCCCACAAAAGACAACAAAACTTGACACAAAATGGCACGAAACTGAACGTTTGCCCCGCTGTGTAACAAATTGTGATTATCTTGCGTTGTCGTTTTAAAATTCAGTTTTCAGGAATGGAACCAACAAAGGTGATGGCTAAGCAATCTTTAATTCGTGGTTTGTACCGATATAGAGAACTTATTCTATACTGAAAAAAAAGCTATCTAAATAAGCCGCCCTCCCATAATTTGCAGCCGTTTTAAAACGTCTTTTTCTCACACAGGTCGCGGCCTCAAGTCGTACCTGCTCTTGTGGGCACGTGTTTTCACCAGAAACTCGAAGGATTGGTGGGAAGCGGTTTTCAGGTAAGACAGGATTCATTGTACATAGCCTAGCGCCCTAACACCAAGAAATAAAATCGGGATCTGGCACGGATTCGCTGGAAAGCGAGTCTGATAAGCACGAGTGCGTTTGATTTTTTTTTTTTTTTTTTTTNTGGGGAGGGGGGGGGGCTTTGTTTCTGTATTCCCCACAAGAAGCGTTTTTTTGAGGGTTGGCTTCGCTATTGTTTTCTCCTCCCCCGCAAGAAGCGTTTATCACTGATACAAGTTGTCACTCGCATGTATCAGAAATATCGTTGCAATTGCCTTTTTGTTGTCACGGTTTTTGTTTTTTAACTTATTTGAATATTCACATTATTTAGAAAATTAATATCGTTGAAATCGTCGAAAAGAGTTGACAAGTACTTCGCAATGTCATTTACAAGAAGAGCTGTTTCTTAACTTTCAATCACTCAGTGATTTCATTAACTTGGATAATTTGATGAGAGAGTGAGATAAACTTAGTTCTCGTTGTGTGACAGTTTCACATTTCGCGTCATTCTTTTGCTTATGTTTATGTCACTTATCTCGTTGTCAAGGTTACCGTCTGGGGACTACAAGAAGACAGTCCTTCAGTACTCTTCGAGAAAAACAGCAAAATGGCGCCATAGTGAACAGCGATCCATCAGCTAAGAAGGTGAGAGGACGAATGAAAGACAGAGGCTGCACAAAACTAGCTGGGGGATCTGGTTTAATCAATACAGAGAAATTTGATAAAATTTCTGTCAACTGCGACAGGACGCGCGTTTTTTGTTTTTGTTTTTGTTTTTTTACTGTCAGCCGAGGAATGAGATCTGCAAAATATCGTGACAGCTGAGAAATGCGCTGAAATCTTATAACTCAAAGCTAAGACACATCGCCGAAATTGCGATGACAAGTGCGATTCCAGAACCTCCATCCATTCACTCAAAACATGTGAATCCCTCTCGATCTTTCCCAGGTTCAATCACCCTCGTTCTTTTAAGATTTACTATCACATATTTTGAGTTTTAAGGCATAAATAAACAAACAGGTTCGCACAGATTTGGAACTAATTTGGCAATGAATAATTAGTTATTCCCAGACCTCTTTGTCGTGCCATGATAAAAGTACTAAAACTCGTCAACTTAACCTGTTCAGATGTTCGACCTGTTTCTTTCTTCTACTTTTTTGACTACCATAAAACCGTAAGCATTTATCAAAGGCCCATTATTAAGACTATTAAATCCATAGCGCGGTAAACCAATTAGATCATTATAAAAACAACGGGATGTCTGTAAAAATGCGGGAAAATCGCGGTTGTCAACTCAACACGGCAGGTCAAGATTCCGCGCCTGATTGGTTAAGCAAGATAACAACTTTACTCTTACTGGCTAAAACAATGTGGCAAGAATTTCATGAACCAATTAGCAATTAGCAGATTAAGACAAAGCTAAATTGAAAATGGCTGAATTACTTTACTTTTGTCGTTATTTGCAGTTGAGAAAACCAGTCCTGTATCAGAACGTAAAAAGTCCCAAAGCAGTCCAAGACAGATCGAGGATGTTCTCGGATAAACCCATCATCAAGCGAAAGGGACACCAAATCTCCAAAGAAAACCAAGCTAAAGCTAGAGTGAGAAAGATTGACCACATTATGCAGGTGTTGTCTTCGCCAGAAAGACGTTTGAAACTCTCACTGGCATTAGCTGAGATCAACAGAAGATTGGCAAGCCAAATGCTCATCTGGAAAATGCTGCCCTGTGAAACTGGATAAAATACAGGCAATCCTCTTTGTCTCATCTGGATCGTCACGCAATGTTGTTGAGACGTTTTGCAATGGCGTGACGACTGTTAACGAGAGCATCTAACCGGGAATGGCCAACGTAGATATATGAAGTACATCAAAGCTCTCCTGAAATCTATTCTGCATGTAGCACAAACTTCGAGAAAAAGAACACTTTTGAAAATCATTGAATATGAAGAAATCACTAATATCTATTCATCGGAAAGCTCGCACTTGCAATCTATCCGAAAATGGACTGATCCCAAGTCTTAAAAAGTACTTCAGAAAGCTCCAGTTCTGAGATTGTTCTTAACCCTTGTCCTTTTCCGCAGTATGACACTTAAAAGTGTCGTTCTGCCTTCTAACTGAATAAGTCGAAGTTCTCTTTTGAAGCTCACTTCTACGCTGCAAATACCTTTTTTCTTTAATATATGGTATAGTAGATAAAGTATAGGGGTATAGAGGTTGCCGTGGTGTAAATATTCACAAGAGTTCCTGCGATTTATGTTGAGGCTATCGACTACATAGCTAGCCCTACATGATAGGTACCCTAACATTACTGTAAATTACACTTATGGCTTATATATGTACAAATCAAATCGTGCCTTTTTTTTTGAGAGAGGAAGAATTCGAAGGTCTTATGATCATACGATTCGTTTTGCTGCCGTTTTCCTACCATGTTATATGTAGCTGTTGAGATTCGTGGTGGGAAAATTTAAAGACAAAATAAGCTTATTTATTTTTACTCTGTACAGTATGTAAAAAAATAACACCCAATCAAATGGAATTTACAAATCAAACATTTAGTCACACCTCGTATTGCTCTGAGTGCTAACATCGATGAGCCAGTATTCCTGTATTAGAACATTACTGTAGAAATCTTCGCCAAACAACAGAAGATGGATGAATAATGAAACACATGTATACACATGAAAGAAATTTGAGTCGGCATCATATGATGAGGTATATATAAACGAATAAATACACATGACAATCATTTTAAAAGACTCGTTATTTATTTACCGTTTCGAACATAGATCTTTTGCACTATAGGTTCTTCATCACTCAGGCGGTACAAGCGCCAAATGCTTTACTTCTGTCAGCAGATTACAGTCAATTCCGAAATTCTCCGAGCTTTGGAAACATTTCCAAGATAGAAATCATTCATAGTTACTTTGAAAAACAATGACTGATTGACTGATCCAGCCTACGTGGAATGGGACGAGGGGAGGAAGGGCGGGAATGGAATGGGGGAAGGGGGTGTTCCTCCTCGGAAGTTGTTTTTTATGTAGAAAAAAAGGGAAAATAAACAACTTGTACCTGGATAAATCTTCCTCACTGAACAGGCCGCTAATAGAAATCAGGAGATTGCATCTGTTGGATTCTGTTCTCTAGGTGTTGCCTAAATTCTTCACCAGTCAGAGTCCTTTCCATGTCGAAAGGTCTGATCAGCCTATCAGGATGTAGCCTGTTCCAGGCTCTCGGTCAGTGGGGACGATCGAAAAAAACGGCCGGGCGACGAGCAACGAGC